TTAGGTCAGCTGCACCAGCCGCTGCTCAGGCAGTCTTGGGCCACCACACCTCCCTCACCCCCAGCAGCAGCAGGAGTTTGGGTGTGGGAGGGGGCTCAGGGCTGGGGCAGGAGGTTGGGGAGGGGGTGGGGGCTCTGGGTGGTGCTTACCTTGCAGGGATGGGGGGCTCCCTGGGAGCGGCAACATGTCCTTCGGCTCCTAGGTAAAGGTATGGCCAGGCAGCTCCGTGCGCTGCCGCCGCCCCTACAACTCCCATTGGCTGTGGTTCCCATCCAATGGGAGCTGCGGAGCCAGCACTCAGGGTGGAGGCAGCATGCAGAGCTCCCTGGCTGCGTCTGCGCCTAGGGACATGTCGCCACTTCCGGGGAGCCGTGTGGAGCCAGGTAGGGAGCCTGCCAGCCCTGCTAAACACCCTCCCCCCTTTCCCCCCCCCAAGCAGCAGTGGGGGTCCCAGGCTGCACGCTGCTGCCCAGCACCATGGCGCCCCTGGTCTGCCCTGCCCCCGAGCACCCAAGATTTAGTCAGGGTTTTTTTCATCTGTGTGCCATTTTGATGGTATAGCTTAATAATTGGCTTTCACTCTTTGTTTGAAGTAAGACAGGTCGATTGACAAAAATCCTAGAATTTACAATATATGCTAATAGAGATTTATAACCTTACACTAGTTGGAGACCATCTGTTGATTTAGTTTTATGCCTTGGGACATCTTCTGTTCTTTTCCAACAACTGTGCTAAGCTCTTACCCTTCAAATCACATTCCAACTTGATGTAAATGTTTTTATTGCACTTCTGCTAAACAAAATAATGAATTGGATATTTGTAGTAGCACCTTATAAAATGCACTATGTGGGATTTGTTTTCAAGTCATAGGAGTTAATTAAAATGGTTGTTGATTTGCCAGCTGTGGTTGTACTGGAACAATAACCTTTCCTCAGTATGAGCATTAAAATTTATGCCTTCCGGCTTTGCATTTTGTTAGGTTTTTATAGGATTTAACTATAATGGCTGAGTCTAATAGAGAATAAGGTATGACAGAATTACAAGGTGTCATAGCAACCAAGTTTTATCAGTAATCCATTCAGAGTAAGCTTTCTGGGGTAGGTATCAAAGAACACTATTTGAAAAGCAGCATATATATTTGCAGTCCTAATAATGACTTATTCACTTAAATAGCTGTAATAAATATTGGTAACTGGATAACTCTTTTTCCATTCCTGTATTTGATTAGTTATCACTTTTTTCCATAGGCTTGATGCTCTGTACATGTACAAAGAGTGTATTAGACTACAGCATTGCCTAGAGGGGTCCAAATGGAATAGATTTTAATTAGTAATGGGTAAATATATGTACCTACTTAAGTGTTTGCAGCATTTGAGCTGTATCTTATTTATTATCCACCCATGTACATTTTTAACATAGCCAAATGTGTCGGAGTGTTTATTAATATACACCAGCAGTCCTGAGAAAACTAAATCTTGGCAAGCTGAAAAAAGGGCTTTTTTGGGTGGGATGCGAGGGGTGAGATGGGAGGGGGCTAGCTAGTTCTTCTGTTGTTTAGTCAGCACTGAGTTAGGAGATTTGTATTCAGTCTAATGCCCTGGTAAGTGAATGCATGTGGATTAAAACAATGTGACAGAGATACATATGGCTTAAAATGGAACAACTCATGGCTATTTGATCTAGACTTTGCTGATGACATTGCTCTTATCAGTGAAGATGCCAACGGACTACAAAAATGCACAAACCAAGTAAAAAGTAATGGAGAAAGGTTTGAGATACGATGCAAAAAAATGTAAAGCCATATTAATGGGGACCACAGGGACAGAAATCAAAATTGAAGAGAAAACGGAAAAGGTGGACAGTTTTACGGATCTTGGAAGTACCATCAGCCAATATGGTACTAGTTCTGCAGAAATAAGAAGAAACTGGAAGGCAAATGCTGCATTTGGAAGACTCAAAAACATCTGGCAACTCAAAAACATCTCCCTCAAGACCAAACTGAATGTGAACAAAGCAACTGTTATCGCCAACACAACATATAGCAGTGAGACATGGCAATTTACCAAGAAAGATATGCAAAAGCTGGATGCATTTAATCACAAATGTCTGAGAAGAATATTGGGAATAACATACAGAGATAAGAAGACAAATGAAGTCAGAAAAATTAGTGGACAAGGCACCCTCTCACAAATAATCTACAGAAGACATCAGTGGTTGGGACATGTGCTGAAAATGGAAAAAGCGGTCACCAAATACTGCCCTTGAATGGAAGCCAGAAAATGCAAGAAGAAAGAGAGGAAAACTTTGAATAACATGGAAAGGAACAATTCTGAACAACATCAAGCACCTCAACATGAAATGGGAAGATTTGGAGAGAAGGGCAGTTGACTGGCAAGGATGGCAAATGTGGGTAGCCCAATGTGCAAAAGCAGAAGATGGTCTAAGGGAATGCCCTGGTATGTGTTTGATACAGCAATCTGTCCGTTCATGACTGTTATTCATCTACTGTTCCATGCCCGGAATGGAAATCAAAATCTTTGATCTGTTATGGCAGATTCCATTGAAACTAACTGCATGTTTGTACTCCTTAATCTCTGAAGCCAGGTGGACATTTGGCTATACTGGAATAGGAGAATCCTTTATTTTAGAATTCAGTATCCATTTCAACAATGAAAAAATCATTGATGTGCTCTTAAAGCTGAAAATGTGTGCATGGTGATGGTGGCTGACTTTTTATTCCTGCTCTTATGGGAAGCCCAGGAGAGAATAAATCCAGTCCTTCAGTGTTTTCCTAGGTTCTGGTGGATTTTTCCATAGTCATATGGCAGAATGTTGCCATAAAAAAGCATTTTAATGTCTGAAAACTATTGGGATTCACAATTCCACATGTTCTTTCTAAAATTTCTCACACCAGATTGGCAGCTGCACATGGAATGAAGAGAGACTTGGTGAAGGAGAAGAGAATAGCTTCTGTGTTGGGCAACTTTTCTAAATACAGTTAGGGCTACAGTTTGTAAAAAAATTAAAGTTTAAACTTTCCAATGTTCTATTTTGGGATAATAGATTGATTATTTTATTATTCTGAAAAGTTTTATCCGGAATGGCAGATATGATTGATTGGTTTTTTTACCAAATAGTTTAGGAACTCCTTTGTGTGTGTTTGTTAATAAGCTGCATCATCTAGTCAGTTCAATTTTCACAGTTAAGGTTTATAAAACATTAAATATTAGCTTAATCAGCTTACCTTGGAGAATGTGGTCAAATGTAACAGTTCTGTTTCAGCATCTGCTAGTGAAGGATAGTTGAGTATAGTCTTCAAATACTTGAAAGTGGCACAGGTGATAACAGATCTGTTTACAGGAGTTGGAGTAAGCTATCAATTTGCTGGCTCCTACAGACTCTTACTGGAAGCAGTGCAAACTGGGATACACACTTCTAGGTGTCTATGGATATAAATGCTGAAAACTTATTTTCATGTTTTGCCTTTTTGTGATTACTGGCTTTGGAGCAGAAGGGGGGAACTGGATTTGGTTTGAAATGGAACATGGGAATCTTTCAACCTTTAATTTGTGAGTCTGTGTGTAGTCCTAGTTGGCAGGGAACGAGAATCTGTAGCTCCTCGTAGCTGTTTGGTCTGTGTGAAATTAGTTTCTGTGATGTGGCTCCCGTTCTTGTAGGTGAATGGATCGGTCTTCTTGATATGTCAGGCAGGTGATAGTCAATCCAGATGCAGGATTTTTTTCACCAAGTTCAATGCAGGAAAGCTTTCTTGGTGCACAGCTTTCAGATCTGGGGGTGGAAAAACTATAGTCAGGATAGTGTAGGCTACTTGTCCAGTAGTTTTGCTTGAGCACTATTGTTAGGTAAGGAGAGAGAAATGTGCATGCTTTTGTAGTGGGTGGTCCTGTTTAACTGCACGACCAGCCAAGGTCAGAGAGAGTAAGCTGACTAAATGGATCTTTGATCTTGGAACTTTGAAAGCTCACTTTCTTCTTTAAGCTTCTTGGGTCTCTTGCTTTCGACAGGCTCCTTTATTCTGTTAGTGTGAGCACTGACCTCAATGCTGTAATACTTGCAGTGCAATGCATTCTCTTCGTTCCTGTCTTTACTTTTCTTGGAAATTTCTAAGCACTGATTTTCTTGTTGGTATTCAGGCATAGATTTGTGTTTTCGCCCCATGTTTACCTTTTTACCTCATCTTTATCTGTGGAGGATTTCTGGTTTGAATTCAGTACTGCGCTAAATGGATACAAAAAAATAGCCGAGCAGTGAGCCTATTGTAGTGCAGTATTAATATTGTTTGTTTGATTTTCCAGCCACCACTTTGTGTGTGTTCTGTGTATTATGTTGGAACTGCTTGAATCACAGAGCTGCAGGACACAACAAGCAGTGTTTAACAAAAATAAGTACCTGAAAAAAACATTGAGTGGATTGATAAACAGGTGTAAATCAGTAAAAACCGAATTCCTTTAATAAAAAAACGGGTAATTTTTCCGTGAAAATAGGTAAAAACTGAAAATGCAGAACACTACATATCCCTAAAGAGGTAACTGTAAACCCAGAGTTCCCATGAGGCTGGAGTTCTGGGAAAAGGTGTATTTAAGCTATGGGGAAGTCTGATGAGACCACACTAGTCCCAGGGGCTAGGCAGTTGAAGCACAGGGTGCCAGGTCTCAGGAGGGACACTCTAGCATGGGATAATGCTTAGAATGTGTTTAGATTCAAAAAGCTTAGCGTACATGGGACCCAGTGACAAACACAGCAGCCTGCAGAGTGTCCAGCCAGATGGGGAGCGCTACCAGGCTTTGTATGTGATTCAGCTAAACTCTCACCAGCTAAGAATATAATCTGACACAAACAATACTGAATTATGAAATGTTGAACAAAATCTATTAAACCAAATCAAACTAAATGACTAATGTAAAAACATTGAACATCTGCATAACAAATGTATGCAGCAATCAAAATAGTTGTATTCATTCTCATTCTTCTTTTCGTAGGTGGAAAATCATGAATTCCTTGTGAAGGCTTCTTTTGATCCTAATCTGACAGAGTTGAGAGAGAAGATGAACAAACTAGAGGAGAGCATGCAGTCTCTTCTAAAGACTGCAGCCAGAGAACTAGGTACGGTGAGGTAAAACTCTCTTTAATACTTTCTTCATAAAGTGCTTTGAGCTCTACTGACCATTTAAGAGTAAGGTATTTTTATCTTTAGTTTAATTATTTAATTATTTGTTAGACTGCTGGATGATTTTAATGGTGTTATTTAGTATGGTACATGGAGAGTAACAAGCAGCTTTATGTCCAAATTGCTTTTTGTGAAAGATGGTGTTTCAGAACGTTTACCCAGTTGCTGCATACCTATTACAGGGTTGTACAGAGTTTATTTACTGTAACTGTGTCTAGCCTTCTCCACTGATTTTATTTTTATTAAGATCCTTGGGGAATGTGTATTCAAATATCCTGTCCTTATCTATTCTTATGGGTGTCCATTCTGGAAATGCCCATTTCTGTGGTATGAAGGTGCATATAAAATGGAATACAGAATTCTATTAAGCAGAATTAAAGATTTAAAGACTACAATTTCTTGTGTGTACAGTCAGTGCAAATCTCACACTGATCAATAATTAAATGATCTCTTTTAATGAAAATAAAGTGGTAAGAAACTGACAAAATAAATTAATCTAAATTAGTTTTATATTTACATCATGGTTTTGCTCATGTGTCCCTGCTGCTTCTTCTGGAGGTTCCAGATGTACCCTACACACACACTGCTATCAGAATATTCAGTTTTTCTTTATAGATCATCTAGTTAGTCGACTACTTGAGTGAATGAAACTCTGCTTAGTTTGCTGTTTTCCAAAAATGGAACTAAACTTATTTCTGGCTACTTTGATTGGTTTTTGGGACACAAGTAAACCAAACTTGTTTTTACTTTGTGCTTCTAAACAAAATACCTGGATGAAAGGGAGCAAAAGACTTGATTGGCTAGGAGTGGAACTGGGGTTTCCACCTCCAGAAGCATGTATCAATTGAGATAAGCAGTTCTTTTAATACAAATGAGCTTAGCTCTATATGAGGGGTTCTCAAACTTCATTGCACCGTGACCCCTTTCTGACAACAAAAGTTACTACAGAACCCTATGAGGGGGAACTGAAGTCTGAGCCTGCCCGAGCCCCACCCCCTTAGAATCATAGAATATCAGGGTTGGAAGGGACCTCAGGAGGTCATCTAGTCCAACCCCCTGCTCAAAGCAGGACCAATCCCCAATTAAATCATCCCAGCCAGGGCTTTGTCAAGCCTGACCTTAAAAACGTCTAAGGAAGGAGATTCTACCACCTCCCTAGGTAACGCATTCCAGCGTTTCACCACCCTCCTAGTGAAAAAGTTTTTCCTAATATCCAACCTAAACCTCCCCCACTGCAACCTTGGGCGGAGAGGGCGCAAAGCCAAAACCCAGGGGCTTCAGCCCTAGGCAGGGGGCCTGTAACCTGAGCCCCACCACTTAGTGCTGAAGCCCTCAGGCTTCGGCTTTGAGGCTCAGACTTCGGCTTCAGCCCCAGGCCCCAGCAAGTCCTAAGCCAGCCCTGGTGACCCCATTCAAATGGGTTCGCGACCCACTTTGGGTTCCCGACCCACAGTTTGAGAACCGCTGTTCTATACTGATAGTTGTATAGACAATACTTGTAATTTGCTTTGTACACATCATATTAAGTCTTAGTTGAATATGGAGGGAGGAGGAGGAGTGAGAAAAATTGTTAATTGTTAAAAATTAATCCTCTTAATTGCTGAGGATAGGACAAGAAGCATTGGGCTTAAATTGCAGCCAGGAAGGTTTAGGTTGGACATTAGGGAAAAACTTCCTAGCTGTCAGGGTGGTTAAGCGCTGGAATAATTTGCCTTGGGAGGTTGTGGAATCTCCATCATTGGGGATTTTTAAGAGCAGGTTGGACAAACACCTGTCAGGGATGGTCTAGATAATACTTAGTCCTGCCATGAGTGCAGGGGACTGGACTAGATGGCCTCTTGAGGTTCCTTCCAGTCCTATGATTCTATGATGTGATGCTTATTTTGTATCCAGCAGCAGGATGGAGCTTTGAGTTAGATAAATGTGCCATTTGATGGTTTACTGAATTAATGGTGGAGGTGAGCAATACATTTCCAAATAAAGTTCAGATGTTTCCTGTCTGTAGCACCAAAGACAAGAACATTGAACATGGCGTGCCCAATATCGTTTAAATGGCAACCCAGTTGACAGGCAGCATTCAGAGAATAGGGATAATATGGTGACATGTATTTCTAATGGTGAAATCATTCATTTCTCTTTTCTTTCCCCACCTTCCTCCTACTGAAAAGGGTTGGAAGCTGGCAAGAACATCAAACTGGACTCCAATTCACAGTTAGGACATTACTTCCGAATTACCTGCCGGGAAGAAAAAGTTCTCCGGAACAACGCAAAATATAAGATCTTAGATACCCAGAAGAATGGTGTGAAATTCACAAACAGGTATTTGGCAAACATAATTCATCTTTTCAGTTGTTTGTTTTGAGATGCTAATTCATCCCTTTTTGTGTAGACCTATGGGGGTCTTCTTTCAGAAAAATACTGTTCGCATATTACTCCTGGGGGAATTCTGCACCACTGCGCAATGCAGAATTTTGCATTAACTTGCATGCAGAATCCCCCCCCCCCCTCCGAAATGGTTTGCAGTCCTGCTAGCCACCACTAGGGGCAGCTGGACCTGGCAGAGTCTAGCTCGCACATAGAAGACAGCACGGGGGGGAGGGGGCGGGAGGTAGAGGGTTCCTGGCAGCTGCAGTTCCAAGCACGCCCTGAGGGAAGGAGACAGTGAGCAAGCCTGGGACCCAGCATCAGACTGTTTCTCCCTCTGTATCCCTGGGCTCTGGGCGGGAGAGGGGGCGGGGGTATCTGGGCAAGGGCGGGCCCCGTGGCAGGGGTTGGGGGGAGAGGATACAGGTATCTGGGCCAGGGAGCGTGGCTGGGCTCTGCGGGGATGGGGGGGAGTGGGTTTGGGTGTATTGGCTGGGGGGGGCCCTGTGGCTGGATTGGGGGGAGGGGTTGTGGCTGTCTAGCCCCCCCATCTGGGCTCTGGATGGGGGTGGAATGGGGAAGAGAAACAGGAACTGGGTTGTCATAGGGGTTTCTTTAACTCTCTACTCCTGGGGGAATTTTTGCCTGTCTGTATTGTTATAGACGTACTTGCCGACAGGCATTTTGAAATAAATTACCAAAGTAATTGAAACTGGTGTGATTATGCAGTGTTATTTTGACAACATCTGCAGAATTTTTAATTTTTTGTTGCAGAATGCCCCCAGGAGTAGCCTATTTACATATTGAATTGCTTGGTTTCCCCCTCTTCTGTGTAATCATTCTGCTCACAGACTGAAATGTTGTTGAGATAGGCGTGAGGGAAGGGATGCTGGTGCAGGCATGGCTGTCACTACCACACGTTCCCCTTGTATCCTGCTATAGATTTTTGCTGCTTTGATTTCAGTCCATTTCTCTTGGATGATTTGGCTGCAATTGACCATAGTAATAGCTGCAGTGAAGGCATTCTTGCAGGTTGTTGTAGAAAACAGCAAATTCTAGTTATCCCTGAATTTTATATGCTGCTATTTGAGGTAATCGTTTCTGTCCTCTAGTGTATTTTGCTTAATTAATTTTCTTGCATCTTGGCCTTTCCAAATATGCTGGCTTAGTTTGTTTTGTACATTTGTGTAGGTGATCAAAACAAGAATGAGGAAATAAACATTAATTTGATTGAAAGATTACAATGATCTTCAACACATCCCTAAAATGTAAAGCAGTTATCTTTTGTGCTCTTAGTTGTTCTAAATCTTGTTTCACTTCACAATCCAAAATTGATGTTAAATACTGTTAATCAGCTATTGAAGATGCTAAATTTAACAAGGGAAAAGAATCCCTTAGAAAAACTGAACTTTTTTGTAACATTTTTGTTGTGCATAAAGGCACCCAGAGAGACTGAGTTGACAGTCATGGAGCTGAATCTCCTCTATTCATAGAATAGGCATAGTCGCAGCGCATGCTTTCCTATACGGCCCCATAGAACCTAACCTGGAGAGCGGAGATTAAAAGGCAGCTTAGAGTTGTATGTAGATATATATTTGTTTGAACATCATGTTGTGAAGCTGCTTGGAGTGGCTCAGGAGCATGAGCACCAACCTCAGGGCAGACTGTTAAGGAGGAGGGCACACATCCCAAATTGATTGAGAGTTCTATACTTAGATTTCACCAACGAATTACCAAGTGTGAATTCCTCAGGCACTGCGGTAGCCTTAACATGGAGTCAGACAGTTCCCTTAGGTACTCCAGTCTCTTGCCTCCCAGATAAGCTTGCTGTTGTGATAGATGGTCCCTTGTATCAAAAATCAAATATTCAGGTTACTCTCAGTCCCAAAGGACCAGGCACTTAGCCCAGGTCAGTTGTACTTTAGGTCCTACTCCAAGGACGACAATTGTAGCTAATTCTATAATAAATTAACTAAAAATGTATTAACGAAGAAAAAGAAATAAGTTATTTACAAGGTTAGAGCAAGTAAACATACCCTTTGGAACCTAAGATTAACTCATTTGTGTGTGTATTGGAAGCTGCTACAATATGCAAGCTCTATAAGTCCTCTAGGGTTAACCCAGGCCAAGCACTGGGGATCCCTTGTGTATGCTTAGAAATCTTGCACCTTCCAAGTCCAGGCAGTGAAGAGATGCGGTTTGTTCCTGTCAGGGATTTTTATTCCCTTCCCGCAGAGTTCAAGCTGATGTGCATGGGGACTTGTCAGATCTCCTCTTCATAGGTGTGGGGGGGAGCAATCAATGAAGTCTTGTCCTTTGATGTTCCACAATGATTTGTCTGGTGTCTGTAGGCCTTCTTTTGTTGGACAGGAAATAATACTTCCTGTGGTGAACTAGTATTTAGCACATGCTAGTGCTTCTCTCTTGACCCTGGGGGTTTACAGTTTCAGAGCAAACACGTAAATATTACCTTATAACATGGGATGCAGATATGTGAGATTACTGCCTGCATCAATTTACAAGCATTTCATAAAGTCTAACACTAAACATGTTTTCATAAACCTAATACCTGTTGTAACAGTGCTAACATACAGGTGAGCCAGACTGGTTTTCAGCTATGCATTTGTGAATGTTCAATTGAAGCCTAGGGGCCTTGGAATGAGCTGTCTCCTGATCTGCCAGCATCACACATCCATCTGAATCCACCTTATCTGAAGACTATGAATTGTTCATAATGTGCAGTAGCTACTTGAGACTTTATGAATGAAAAAGGTTGACTTCTCATAGCATTCATTGCTTTCTTCAACTGTGCACAGCTCTAATATGGACCTCTCTACGTGTTTGGACAAATCAGTTTGCTCAGTGTCAGGTTTTCCCCCATCAGATCTTCCACACATCACAGTTCATTATAGGGTAGCCAAAGTTCAGTTCTGCTTCTGTCCTTTTAAAAAATAAATCCATTCTCATCACACACACACATAGCAAACAGGTACATTGCTAGATTTTAAAAATAGCAGTGTACAGACACATTAAACTGCTGCTTAGCGTCACAGCAGTGATCTTCTGTTGGACTGTAGTCTAAACTCTAATTCATTTGTTCAGACCAACATAACCTTAGATGTTCTGCATCTTGATTTTTGGATTGTCCTCCCCAAGTTGAACACCCAGGACAATATCTTGCCATTAACTGAAAAAACAAAAAGTGATGTATTGTAGCAAACGGTAGTACAGACTGAGAGAACATCAACTTGAAATATTGTGATTTTGTTCACAGTAAATTGAGCTCCTTCAATGAAGACTACGTAAGAAGCAGAGAAGAGTATGAAGAGGCTCAGGAAGCCATTGTTAAAGAAATCATTAATATTGCTTCAGGTAAATAGGGCTCTGTTAACAAATGAAATGAGCTGAAATGTTTGGAGAACTTACTATAATCTTTCTTTTTTTCCTGTATACACAATGATCTATTGTTTGCAGTTGGTTTCAAGCACGAGTCCCTTAACTCCCAAATTGTTTGAAAATGGATTGGTCACCTATTCAGGTGGCCAAAATGTTTAACATTCCTGGATGAAGAGTTATAACTTACCTGGAAGCGTAGTTTCATGCAAAGCAATTCTTAAATCTTTAGGGGACAAATTAAAAAGCTCGTGGACATAAATCCCAAATCTAGGGGGGAAGAAAAAAATGCTGCTAAGCAAGCTTTATTTAAATGAGCCACTAGCCCAGTAAGGAAAGAGCTGACAGTTCTGCATCTTTAAGCCAAAGAATAGTAAAGAAAATTGTAGAAAGCAACACAGTATAAGTGTTCTGTGTCTTTATGAATACTTTCTTGACTGCTTTAGGTCGATCAAAGAAATGCTGGTAATTATTTATGTGAAGCACTGCTCCTAAGAACTGGCTTTGCAGTGGGTTTTGAATAATAATTGGTAAACTTGCAAGTGCATAAAAGGGAGAATGAGTAACGAGGAAAAAAGCTGCTGATAGGAGGCAAAAATGTTAGGTGCAGAGGGATAAATAATCAATTAGCATTGCAGCACCCACGTGTGTTTCACACTCTGTAGAACTACAGTAGGTGCATGTGTGTGTAGCAACCGTCACGTACTTGAGACCAGTCTGTTGCAGCAGCCTTGTCCTAATGTTTTTTCTTTCTTTAGCTTGTCTCTCACAGCAAATATATTTTGGGAATAGATAGTTAAGCACAGATATGATGCTGAAAAAGAAATGGAAATTACTCAAGATTTCTCATTCTGCCACATAAACTGTTCCAGATTATAGGAACTGTAGGTCCTATTCTGTGTCTGGGTACCATAATTAAAGAAATACAAAATGTTTAGAAGACAACTGAATCTCTTGCTCTCCACTGAAGTTTTATATTACATTTTGTTTACTTATATCTGGAGTTAAAGGCAGCAAAATCCCCCATAATGATTTTTTTGCATAAAGCTTGTTTAACTTTTATTCTCAGTTTCTGTTGTATTCATTTGCTTAACTATAGTCAGTTGCAGTGGCCGCTTGCATACACTACTATGTATAGAATTCACTCACACATTGCAAAGCCAGCATTCGTTTGGCTTGATTGGATCGTATTTTCATAGTTTGCATCATGCAGTAGCTATTCGTTATGTCTTTTGCTTTAATATACATGGTGCAGCTGCGTGAAAGCAAATTAGGAGGTTTGTAAAAATGGCATCTTCTACAATAAACATCCAGCAGACATAAAAGTAGGTCTCTCTTGACTTATTTGAAGACTTCACTGGTGTGTTAACACAAGCCCACAGATGTATAATCCTATATTTAAACATAATTTTTCTGTCTTCCTTCAGTGGAGGCAATACAATAAAGAAACTTTCTACAGTCTGGATTGGGTATACAATTCTTAATTGGAAGTGATCTTTTAAAAAAAATCCTTCATGCTGTTCTGTACCCTGCTGTTCAATGAGATGTCAGTGGAGCTAGTTAAAACCCAGTGAGAGAGTTCTAATTTCCCAGTGAAGATTGCCTGGTAGAATGTTCTGGAATGAAATTTTTTTGCACTGCACTAGTCACTTCTTTTGACATGTTATACCACTTGTAAATATTAAAGTAATTACAGGTTTGTAGTTCAATCACTATAAACACCCCCAACAAACATTTAATGCTATTAACACAGGTTATAGAATTTAAATAACTGCACAGTATGTGTGCTCACTCGACCTTGTTTTCGCGACACATCCAAATAGTGGTCATCAGAGATTGTGTGGGAGGAAAATATTTCCAGCTACATTGTCATTCTGACCATCTATTTTTCCATATTAAAATAAGCTTCCCCCCTTCTCTAATGCCAGTAAGAGGCAATTAGTAATGGGCATGCCTCCTCCCTATTATAGACTGAGAGCATCTTATCTTTGTGGCCCAAGTGGAGGAATCACATCATGACGTCTTAACTCTCGCTTCAAATATGGTGTGTGGTGATTTGTCACTTAAGCAGCCAAGTACGCATTTGTATTATCACATACAATTCATTCAGTTCAGATTTGTCACTATCATCTGCAATATGTGGTCTGCAAAATGAATGGAGTTATTTATCAAAAATGTCTTCATTATTGGTTTCCATATTTGCTTTAAAGCAAAATTTAATTAAAAAAACATGGATTTTGTGACCAGATCATAGTAATTGAGTGGAAAGTGTGTGAAAGATAAGTTGAACTCTGATTTGAGATTTTCCATGCAGCTTTATTGTAAATTGCAGTCTTTTGTTTTTCATAGTGTCCACAAAATGCTGTGTGCTGCACAAACACAAAAGGAGGGACAGTCCCTGCCCTAAAGAACTTACCCTATTTTAGTTCAAATTTATGTTAAAAGTTCCCTTGTTTTTTATTTCTATAAATATAAATTCAGTACAGTTATAGATGAATTGTTCTGCTTTTCTTAAAACAGGATATGTAGAGCCAATACAGACAATGAATGATGTGATAGCTCAGTTAGATGCTGTCGTCAGTTTTGCTCATGTATCAAATGGAGCACCTGTGCCGTACGTACGTCCGGTCATTCTGGAAAAGGGACAAGGAAGGATTCTGTTGAAAGGTTCCAGACACCCTTGCATTGAAGTTCAAGATGACATAGCATTCATCCCCAATGATGTTAACTTTGAGAAGGGCAAGCAGATGTTCCATATTATTACTGGTAAAAACTAATTTATATGCAATATTTTCAGTTTTCATTTAAACTCAAGAAGCAATGTCAATTTTGCAGTATTTCTTGTGGAAGATGTTTTTAAAAAATAAGTCTGTCAAAACCATTCAGTGCTTTATAGGTGGGGGAGGGGGGGAAAGAGTGGGGAAAGAGACCATTTAGTAATTTACTTATACCAGTGTTGGCATTTGGGGTAGGTTTTGAAAAAAAGATGAGACTGGCTTTTATAGGCCAGTTTCAGCACTGCTTTATTTTTGTGATGGTTATGGTTAATAAGCATGTGTTTTAGAACAAAAAGTGGCCATCATGTACTTATAAAATGTTTCCTTCTGTGCTGGGTACTTCATACACACGGACTCAGCAGTCTTCAAAATGACTAGTCTGCATGATTTTAGTAGAGGTGCGCTTGTGGGAATGCTGGTCATGGCATTTGGGGTCTGGTAACATTTAAACAGGATTGTTAGGGTAGAGGAGAGGTCACACAAGATATTTATAAATAAATACTAGAATATTAGTAAATCCCATAGCACTTTAAAAGACGACCGTGTACGTGTTCACGATTTCTGTGGAGTTGCCATACGCTTGAGTCAGAGTTATAAGTTAACACTTAAGGGAATGTTAAATTTCTCTGTTAAATTAACGTACAGTGGACTACTTTAAAAGGTAGTATGACTTAATAAATTAGTGATATAATAAACTCTTGTTTTGGTAACAAATTATAAGGTGAAATCATTCTTAACACCAACAGCATGATTGCCACTGTACATACATGGAGGAAACCGTGGTTTCTGCCTTGAAAGATCCCAGGATCTAACTTGAAATGCATCATAATTCCTTGCATTATATTGCCATTCTTGTTATGATAATTAGATAGGTCATTCTACTTGAAAATTTTGTCTACAGTCCTTGTTCAGAAGTTGTTGCTAATGTGACTTATCAATGGAGATGTATAAACGTCACATTAATAGTGTAAGTGTGGATTACTTTACAGGCAGGCTTTACAGGAGCAATATATTTTAGTATGTCCAGTAGACAGTGTAGTTTCTATACAGTGTATAGATGTGTAGTTTGTCTAAAAAGTATTTACACTGTATATATATGTACATTTCCTGTAAAAGTTCATCTTTAATATGAATAATCTGCTATACCTTCATACTCTTCTGTTACCAGAGTGGATAAAAATTGATGGTTTAAAAAGTGTGTATGGGTGGGGGTGGGGGGGGAATGTAAATTAAACAGTTCTGTTTTTAAAATCTGTTTAAATTTGAAGTTGACAACCGATGTTAAGGCCTAAACTTACTATAATCTCTTACAATCACGCACATAAAGAAGTGCTGCAGCAATGAGCCCTCCTCAGATTTTGGTTTGTTTGTCTAGCAGGCGCAGAGAATGTTTTTCTTCATTTGGAGGAGTTAATTCAAAGATGAGAAACTGACTGGATGTTGAAAAATCAGGAGAGCCTGTTTTCCTCTTCCAGTCTACTAATAAAAATTAGGTGGGGGAGGATGAGGTCTGTTAATTCTGAAAACTTGAGGGACATGGAGCCAGATTTTCAAAGGTGTGTGGGTGGGTGGGTGTGTGTATATAGGCACCTAAAGATGCAGATAGGTGTCGAGTAGGATTTTCAAAAGCTCCGGAGCAAGTTAGATGACCAGAAACAATCACCAATTCACTAACTACAGTTGATGTTTCCTTCGTTTAATAAATCATTTTTTAAAATAGTTTTATATGGAGCAGATTGTGGAGGAAATAATTGATCTTGTAACTTAAAACAGACTGCATTCATTGTTGAAAGGAAACACTATCAAGACTGATGAGCATAAAATTAAACCCTTCTACCTTTGCTTTAGTTTACAGGTATGTACATGTGCTTCAGATTGTTGCTCATATTTTTGAGAAGTTGGGTTAAAAAAAATCTTCTTTAGGAAGAACTGCAGTCAAGTATTTACAGTTGCAAGCAAGTCCATCCATGAAGCTGTGCTACTTGTTGCAGCTGTTGGTTATATAGGGAGGAAGAAGTTTTTAAAATATCAGTTTTAGGTTAAATTTAGCTTCAGACCCATTAAGCTGAAGAATCCCTTAAAGCTATACATAATGTACCAAGGAGAGGAAGCTAACTTATTAATTTCTTGTCAAAATTCATTTCTTAGGCCCTAACATGGGAGGGAAATCAACATACATTCGCCAGGCTGGAGTGATAGTTCTTATGGCCCAAATTGGGTGCTTTGTACCATGTGACTCAGCAGAAGTGACTATTGTGGATTGTATCCTGGCTCGGGTAGGAGCAGGAGACAGTCAGTTGAAAGGTGTCTCAACTTTCATGGCGGAAATGTTAGAAACTGCTTCAATTCTTCGGTAAGAGTTGTACCTGCGTTGTTTCATCAAAGCGGGAGGAGGCTACTTCAAAGGATTTCTTTATATTGTACCATTTTTGTTTCTATTACTTAGAAAATATCTAATCTATCACCATAGATACTGGTGCTCCTAGATAAGGACAGCCTAAGTGTTATACTTAATGAGTGCTCATCTTCATTCACACATTGTCATGTGAGTCTGATAAACATGTCTCTTGCATAATCTCATTTCTTTTTCTGTGTGTGTACACAATTAGCTATTTGCACTTGGCATTAGACTAAATTTTGAATTTCAGAGCACTTACACTATCTAAACTTTGAAAAAATGTTTTTATTTTTAGGACAGCATCTGAAAATTCCTTAATAATCATTGACGAGTTGGGAAGAGGAACTTCAACATATGATGGATTTGGATTGGCATGGGCTATTTCAGAATATATCGCCAGCAAAATTTGTGCCTTTTGTATGTTTGCCACACATTTTCATGAACTGACAGCACTTGCTAACCAAGTGCCAACTGTGAATAATTTACATGTTACAGCACTAACCACTGATGAGATGCTGACTATGCTTTATCGTGTCAAGAAAGGTAAGATCTTTTAAATGGTGAACAAGATAAAACTATCAGATGCCGTGGGAGAAGAAGAGGGAGCCTTTCCTGCAAAAAGACCTGAAACTACCTTTCCTATTCTGATACTAGGTCTCAAGCTGTTCTTAGCCATCACTAATGATTTGGTCCATTTCTCTCTGAAATCGGATACCTACAGAGAGCTGCATCTCTGGGTGAATACAGATGAAAATCAGTATATTTTGGTAATGAAAAGAGTTGTTTTGATCCCCAGACATAGTTCAACAACACAAATTAAAGCTTTTTGTCTTGTTTTTAATATTGGATTATCAAAAGGAGAAACCCTTCCCAAATTTCACAGCTCTGCATTTTTCTAATTAACATACTACCTATAACTACTCTGGCATATTTCATGCCTTATAATTTTGTTTTAGAGCAAACAATTGGAACCTATTTCTACGGGGAGGATAGGTGTTTAGAGTTTAGCAGAACAGTTCAGTAAGATAGTAAAAAGAAATAAAACCGTAAGCTCCAGATACATATATCTTAATTAACAAATGGTTCGATGTGTGGAGGCGTAATCACTGAAGATATTGGCTAACTTATTTCTGCAACAATTCATATCTAGGAAAAAGGTTTTGCCCTTTTTAAAAGGAACTGGCAAATGAAGTTGCAAGCCCAAAAGCAAGGATTTTTAATGAATCCATAAACTCGGGTACTGTATCACTGGAGAATGCAAATATAGTACCTATATTTAAGACAGGAGAAAAAAATTAATTCAGGAAACTACAGGACCGAAAGTTTCACCTCAATTGTATGCAAGGCCTTAGAACAATTATTTTTCTCTTTCAAAATTTGAAGACCTACAGCTAAACAGTAATTGAGGTAAAATACAACATGTTTTTTATTAAAGGTAGATTGTGCCCAACCAACCTGATCTTTCTTTGAGAAGATAACTGATTTTCTAGACAAAGGAAATGCAGTAGATTGAATCTACCTGGATTTCAGTAAAGCATCTGATAGTTCCATAATTAAAGTGAATGTGAGAATCAAAAGAGGAGTAAGGAACTGGTTAAAGGGGAGACTAAAATGGGTCATGCTGAAAGGTGAACTGCCAGGCTGAAGAGAGATTACTAGTGGAGTTCCTCAAGGATCAGTCTTGGCACCAATCTTCTTTAATATTTTCAGTTACGATCTTAGCATAAGAAGTAGGAATGTGCTAATAAAATTTGCACATGACACAGAGTTGGAAGGTATTGCCAATACGGAGGAGGACCACAATATCCTCCAAGGAGATTTGGATGACCTTGAAAACTGGAGCAATAAATATGGGATGAAATTTAATAGTTCAGAGTGCAAGGTCATACACTTAAGGACTAACAACAAGAATTTTTGCTATAAACTAGAGACTTATCAGTTGGAAATGACACAGGAGAAGAAAGACCTGGGTGTATTGGTAAATCACAGCTGTGAAAAATTGGTTTCAGAGTAGCAGCCATGTTAGTCTGTAAAACCTTTTGTAATGATAATCAAGGTGGGCCATTTCCAGCAGTTGACAAGAACGTCAGATGTTCTCCCCCCCCCCCCCCCCCCCAACCCGCTCTCCTGCTGGTATTAGCTCATCTTAAGTGATCACTCTCCTTACAGTGTGTATGATAACACCCATTGTTTCATGTTCTCTGTGTATATAAATCTCCCCACTGTATTTTCCACTGAATGCCTCCGATGAAGTGAGCTGTAGCTTACGAAAGCTTATGCTCAAATAAATTTGTTAGTCTCTAAGGTGCCACAAGTACTCCTTTTCTTTTAGCTGTGAAAAAGGCTAATATAATCCTAGGATGCATCAGGCGAGGTATTTTCAGTAGAGAGAGGGAAGAGTTATTACCATTGTAGAAGGTACTGATAAGACCTCATGTGCAATGATGTGTGCAGTTCTGTTTTCCATTGTTTAAAAAAGATTAATTCAAACTGGAACAAGTTCAGAGAAGGGCTGCTAGGATGATTGGAGGAATTGAGAACCCTACTTACAAGAGGAGACTTAAGGAGTTTGGCTTTATTAGCCTAACAATACAAAGGCTGAGGGGAGATCTGATTATCCCTCTGATGTATGTATAGAGAGAAAACACCAGGTAGGGAGAGGAGTTATTTAAATTAACGGCCAATCTTGGCACAAGAACAAATGGAAATAAATTGGCTATCAACAAGATGGGAAGGGCTCTGAGGGCTAGTCTACACTAGCAACGCTAAAGTGCTGCCTTGTGGCGCACTGTTTACGAGGGACATTATTTACACTGGTGCGTTACAGCGCTGAAACTTCCTGCGCTCGGAGGTGTTTTTTCACACCCCTGAGCGAGAAAGTTGCAGCACTGTAAATTGCCAGTGTAGACAAGCCATGAGTTACTACTGAGAATTCTTTCTTAGGTCTCTGGCTGGTGGGTCTCACCCACAAACTGAGTCTAACTGATCACCATATTTGGAATTTGGAAAGAATTTTTTCCTAGGTCAGATTTGCAGAGACCCTGGAGGATTTTTGTCTTCCTTACCAATGTGAGGCATGGGTCACTTGCTGGTTTGAACTAGAATAGTGGCGTCTCTGAGTTGAAGTCTTTTAATCAAGTTTTGAGGGCCTGAGGGGGTAGGGATAGCTCAGTGGTTTGAGCATTGGCCTGCTAAACCCAGGGTTGTGAGTTCAATCCTTGAGGGGGCCATTTAGGGATCTGGGGCATAAATTAGGGGTTGGTCCTGCTTTGAGCAGGGGGTTGGACTGGATGACCTCCTGAGGTCCTTTCCAACCCTGATATTCTATGATTCTGTGAGTAACTCTGCAAGAGGCTAGGGGCCTATAACAGGAGTGAGTGGATGAGGTTCTATGGTCTGCGATGTGCAGGAGGCTCAGACTAGATAATCATGATGGTTCCTGTGGGCCTTAAAGTCTGAGATTAAAGGAATATGCCATGATGTACCAGCCATCAAAATGTATACAAATAAACCTCCAAGTTCCTTCATAGCTTTGTGTGTGTGTTTTTGGACTTATATCTTGGCATAGCTAATTATATGCTGCAGAGCTCCATACCAAAATGCTTGGGTGAAATTGAGGAAAGAAAAATGTTTTAAAGCAATTACAAATAGTACTAACAGACTGAAGACAAACATTATTGTAACTTAAAGGAATGTTATCTACTTCCTTTGCACTATTCTATGCAGGGATGTAAGCAAATAACACATTTCCTAGGATGTTATCAAACATAAACTAAGGGTTGTAAGTCAAGAAATATTGGGAGGACCTAAATCATATCACTCCCTTCTCAAAAAGAGAAATATTGCAGGGCTTGTTTTTATGATCTGTTAGTCATTGTAAATACTTTTTCCTGAGAGTTGACTTTATTTATTTTTCTCCAGGTGTATGTGATCAGAGTTTTGGAATACATGTAGCAGAGCTTGCTGCTTTTCCAAAGCATGTAATAGAGAGTGCAAAAGAGAAGGCTCTGGAGCTAGAGGAGTTCCAAACTATTGGAAAACCTGAGGAATCTGAAGGAGAACCAGCAGCTAAGAGATGCTACAGAGAAAAAGAGGTTTGTTAACATAGGCCAAATAAAACCTATGTCAGCTAGTCACACTGACAACTTTTTTCAGTGAATAATGGTTATACACAAACAATACATGATTTTGAATAAAAAGATGGTGACTGGCAAAAGCCTTTCATCCTTTCTGTGAACAAACAGGTTGCAGAATTGTATTTTGCTATATTTAGCCACTGTTTAAGTGGGCTAGAAAAATGTCAGACTCTGAGAATGTCATCTTCTCTAGTGTTGTCAGTTTACAGCTCCCCTCCAGGGAGATACACATGAAGCCTTTAGAAAGCAGTGGGTGGAGTTGCATGCATGTCTTCTCGCTGAGCAGAACAGTAGGGGACTGAAGGCATATATGGGACCATGGCTCCAACTATCCTTCAGTTTTTTCTTTCTCCCATGGGCTGGAAGCCAGAATTGGTTTGTTTTTTGGGGGTGGGGGGCTTTGTGTGCGCCTTTGGTTGTAATTTAGTTTATATGTCAATTAATAGCTCTTGCATTTGTTAGGTTTGTAGTTTGCATGGCTCTGCAGTTGACGCACTGTCTTTGTCCTGTTACGTGAGGGTTCATCTGTACTAATTTCTTCAACCTCAGACAGGCCTGTTCAGTATAGCTGATGCCAGTAAAAAGTTAGGTTCATATTGTTCTCTAAGTATTAAGAGAATGTGGAATCGGTCAGCGCTATGCTTGGCTGATGTGGCAACTCATGGTGTTAGATGCCATAAGGTGGTCGAGGGACATCTACATGAACATATCACAGGACATCAGCAATACCAGGAGGGATAAGCTGGAGTTCTGATGAGAAGCACAGTTGGGAAAGTAACTGAAATACTTCCTTCATGGATTGTATTTTCTAAATAGACAATGTACCCTAAATTCTCTATTACTGAGGGACAATCTTCACTCATTAATATATATTGCTTTCCACAATGAAAACTCTCGACAACTTTTCATGAGTGATAGAATCTGAATACTGGGGTACAATATCTAAACTGTATTGTTAAAATTCACCTAAATGTGGGTTATTGCTGATTATGCACTATATATGTATCTTATGACTTTTAAAACAAACTTTGTATGTGTGGATAATCTAAGCACTTATACCCAGATGTACAGACACTAAATTTTTTTAACATTAATGTCAAAGATTAGCATACCAGGTGTGTGCTATGCAAAATGAAAGTCATCATTCTTTGAGTGCTTGTTCATGTCCATTCCATTGGAGGTGTATGTTCTCGCCACATGCTCTGCCAGAAGATTTTCCCTCAGTGGTATCCATAGGGGACTAGCTCTGGCATCCTCTGGAGTGGACGACATATGCGCCTGTATAAGGGGCACCGCTGCCCCCCAACCCGCCCCCTTCAGTTCCTTCTTACCGCCAGTGACGGTGCTGCAATGTCCCCTTGCCTCAGCAAGTTTTTGACTATTCCAGTGTGCTTTCTAGTATTTTTTGCTATATATAGTTGTTGAGAGTAGTTTCCAGTGTAGTTCTTATTAGTTCCCTTAATGTAAGTATAGAAAAAGTTAGTCCCCAATGGGACTTAGCCCAGAGATGGGGCATGCCCCAGTCTCCGGGCTTCAAGCATGGTGAGCATTAATAAAACCTGTGACCATCTGCGATCCTCACCAAAGCTGTCTGAAGTGCTTGGGGGAAACCTACATAAGTGACAAGTGTCGCATTTGTAAAAATTTTAAGCCGCGAACCAAAAAGGAGCGGGACGTTCGGCTTCGAGTGCTCCTTATGGAGTGGGCCCTCACACCGGCCTCTGAGCTGGCCAGACTGGACTCTGCTCCAAGCACCTCTGCATCAGTGGGGAGCACCCCACTGTCCCCATCACCAGTGCTTGCTAAGAAGCAGAAGAAACACACTGGGAGAGAGCGGTCTCCCATGTCCCATAAAGGAGAAAGCTGGAGCCGAGCAATGACCCACGTGGGGCAGCTCATCCCCACCGGAGCACAGCCAGGTTTCAGCATCACCATCTGATCTGTCGAGCCCCCTCTGGGACCCGCCGCCACCCCGGGAAGTGGAAGAGGCACCCAGCACCTGGCAGTGCCATCCACGCTGGAGCCTTCCAAGCTGCTTAAGGACATATTGTCCCTTTTGGTGCCACCAACACCTGCGAGAGAAGTTGCCTGCTTGAGAGGCAAGCCGTGTGGCCCTTGCAACAATCCCCATGTCCGCAGCACCGCTCCCCAGCACCATTGTAGGCGGCATTCCTCCAGCAGTCTCCAGAACTGCGCTATCGTCCCTCCAACACAAGCTGGCTGGCCTGCCAGAGCTCCCGGCACTGTTCTCCGTAATACCACTGTTGATCACCGGCTATCTGGCGCAGACCTCCTGAGGCGTGCTGCCAGTCCCCAGAGGCCCAGCACAGGTCTCCTGAGCATCCGCATCACTCTCTAGACTCGCGGCACCGATCCCCTGAGTCTCGATGCCGGTCCCCAGAGTCACGCCACCGGTCTCCGGATCGATGGTACGCATCTCCAGAGGCCTGACGCTGGTCTCTGGAATCAAGACAAAGATCTTCACGTACCCAGTCACCGGAGCCATGGCGCCTTTCCCAGAGTGAGGCATCAATCACCGGGCTACCATCCCTGATCCGCTGAGCGCCATCACCAGAGGCATGGCACCGAGCTCTGACATCCCGGCACCAGTCCCCAAGGGAAGAGCACGGAGACAGCCAGCATGGAAAGGGCAAGGAGGCGGCAGCGGTACCACTCTGGTCCTCGGGACGAGTCTCTTCCTCCTCAGACTTGGAAGGCAAGGAGGTCACAGTGTGCCCAGGCCCACATCACCCACCAATGGCATTGGGATTTCCCCCGGGACTGCCAGTAAACATGTGGCCTCAGGGCCAGTGGCTGGCTCTGTGGCAGTTCTGAAATCTGTGGGGGTTCCCTCAGATATCAGAGCATGTGCAGCAGTCGGTCTCAGGGACATCTGAGAAGCAATCGGTGACAGTCTCCTGTTGACCCCCAGACTCAAAAGAGGAGTTGGAGCAGGGTGCCCAGGGCCAGCCAGCCTCGGCCAAGGCTCCCCCAGCAGGGGAAATGGAGGTGGTCGACTCCCCTGTGCCTGCCTCCTTATCCTCTTCACCTGATGAGGCAGTGGTGGGGCCCTCCCACGTGGTTCCCCAGGAGGGTGTCAAAGCTCACCACGAGCTACTTAAGAGTGGCAGCGAATCTAAGGCTGGATGCCAAGGTATTGTCGGAACCCTCCGTCACCCTATTTGACATATTGAGCACAGCAGCCCCTTTTAATGTGGCCCTGCCCATCCCCGAGGTTGTGGTAAAGTTAATCAAGGCTTTGTGGCAAACTCCCTCCTCCCTGCGCCCCATCTCCAAGCACATGGGGAGAAAATATGTCCTGGTTAAAGGCTTCCAATACCTTTACACCCACCCTCCCTGAGCTCGTTGGTCACATCCACTGCCAATGAGCATGAAGGCAGAGGCAACCCAGTTCAACCCCTAAGAACAAAGATGCAAAGAGGCTCGATTTGTTGGGCAGAAAGGTTTATTCAACTACCAGCCTCCAATTGCAAGTGGCCAACCGCCAAGCCTTGCTTGGAAGATATGATTATAACATTTGGCAATCCATGGCCAAGTTTGTGGACTCATTGCCAAAGGGCTGGAAGCAGGAGATCCTGGCCATTCTCGAGGAGGACAAGACCGTGGTGAGGGCTGCCCTCCAAGCAGCCTCAGACATGGCAGACTGTGCAGCCAGGACATGGTTTTGGCCATGGCCATGAGAAAGGCGTCTTAGCTACAGTTACCCAGGCTCTTGGTGGAGGTTCAGTAGTCAATCCAGGACCTCCCCTACGATGGCCTGGTGCTGTTGTCAGACCAAACAGACGACAGATTGCACGGTCTAAAAGATTTCAGCGCTACACTGTGCTCCCTGGGTCTTTGCACGCCCACGCCTGCAAGGATGTGGTTCAGACCACAGCAGACCCAGAGATTCGGGAGCAAGTGCAGGTCGGAGCCCTACCACAAGAAGGGTAATGGCTATAAGCACTGTCAGGGCCAACTGCCGACCACCTCTGCTCAGTCGGGTTCTACCCACCACTAGCTGGATAGCAAGCAGGCCTTTTGAGGGTGTGACCCAGGGCGACTTGAAGATCGATAGGGACAAAGTGTGAATCATTATGATCGCCCCGGCTTGACCTTGCCACGTTGGTTCGGCACACTCATGGACCTAGCGGTAGCAGCCCCATGAACTCTTCCCAACTGTCCAGGACCTGCTCTTTCAGGATTGCAGATGGTTACTGCACCCAAACCTTGCCTCTCCCCACCTCATAGCATGGATGCTGTGTGGCTAAATCTTGAGGAACAAGCTTGCTGTAGTCAGGTCCATCAAGTTCTCTTGGAAAGCAGAAGACCCTCCACCAGAGCAACTTACCTGGTGAAGTGGAAGTGCTTCTCCTTCTTGGGTGTCAGACCAGAATATCTCTCTGGTCCAATCATCTCGACAATCCATCCTGAATTATCCCCTTCACTTAAAGCACCAGGGCCTCACCTTTTCATCCATCAAGGTGCACTTGGCACATTGGCCTTCCACCCTCACATCCAGGGTAGATCAGTATTCTCACACAAGATGATGATCAGATTCCTGAAAGGCCTTGCAAGACTTTTCCCGCCAGTCTGGAATCTGGTTTCCCAATGGGATCTCATCCTGGTCCTCTCCAGGCTCACTAGCCCTCCCATTGAGCCTCTGGCTTCCTGCTCTCTTTTGCACCTGTCATGGAAGGTCACATTCTATTGGCGAGGTGAGTCTCTATTGGCGAGGTGAGTCTCTGAGATTAAAGCTCTTACGTCGGAGCTCCCATATACAGTACTCTGCAAAGTACAACTGCGTCCCCATCCAGCCTTCCTGCTAAGGGTAGTGTCACAATTCCATGTTAACCAGGATATCTTTGTCCCAGTGTTCTGTCCAAAGCCTCACACATCCAACGAAGATACATACCCTGCATACCCTAGATGTCAGGCATACCCTGGCTTTTCTACCTGGAGTGCATCAAGTCCTTCCGCAGATCCACTCAGCTCTTCATTGTGCTGACTGACAGGATGAAGGGCCTCCTGGTGTATTCTCAGAGGGTTTCAACCTGAATCACTGCCTGCATCTGTACTTGCTTTGAGATAGCACAGGCTGTGCCTGCACCGATAGTGATGGCTCATTCAACAAGAGCTCAGGCGTCGCAGGCCACTTTCCTGGCACATGTCCCTATCCAGGGCATCTGCAGAGCTGCAACGCGGTCGTCAGTACACACCTTCATGATGCACTATGCCATTACCCACCAAGCCAGAGACGATGCTGGCTTTGGCAGAGCTGTGTTGCAATTGACACGTCCATGAATTCCTATCCCCTTCTGGAGGTACTGCTTGGGAGTCACCTACAATGGTATGGACATGAGCAAGCACTCGAAGAAAAATATGGCTATTCAACTTTCGTAACTGTTCAAGATGCGTTGCTCAAGTCCATTCTAATACCTACCCTCCTTCCTCTCTGTTGGAGTTCCAGCAAGAAGGAACTGAAGAGGGGGGAGGGGTGGCGCCCCTTATACTGGTGCATAAGCGTGCAACTTCAGAGGGTGCCAGAGCTGGTCCCCTACAGATACCACTGAGGGAAAAACTTCCAGCACCAGCACATGTGGGGAGCGCACACACCTACAACGGAATGAACATGAGCAACGTGTCTTGAAGAACAACAGTTAGGAAAGGTGAGTAACTGTTTTTTTTCCCTGGGGAGGTGTGTAGCATATACCCATTTAGACTCTTGTTCTTTGAGTAAACTTACTATTGTTGGTGAGAGCACTACTGGTTAATCTGTTTAAAGACTTAGCTATTTGGACTCTGGGACTTCAGTGTTTTATAGATGTTCTGAAGCAGTCTTTAGGTTCAAAGACCGTAAGAGAATTTGGGCTGAGATTTTTCCTCTTCCTCATCAGACGAAGAAAAGGCATGAGTGTTCCCTCTTGGTCTTACCCAGACTCTGGGAGGAGGTTGAGGAGGTGCTGATCTGAGAGCAATCTCAGATATCAAGGGAAGCTGATTCAGACACTGCCATGGTTCCAGTGGTCTGTTGCCTTTGTCAGCACCAATTGATCATTCAGTACTAGATGCTGCCATTGATCATGGAAATGAGCTGCCAATTAAAATTGTTCTTCTTAATCTTTGTTCTTCCTTTTCCCCCTCTAATAGGCTTAAGCAAGGTTTCATTCCCCAGAATGCCTCCTAGTAATAGGCAACAGGAGGCTTTCTTATAAATAGTCTCTAGTTGGCTTCTCTGCCATTCTGGGAGTCCTTGTGCCAATAATGATCCCATATTGCCTTTTCACCAAGGGTGCCAGTAATGGATCCACCTTATCCTAGTTACATTGGTGCATGTAAATCTAACCTAGGTCTCCTAGGTTTGTGACATATGGAAATGAATCTGAGGAAACCATCTCCTTATATTGGTGCACATAACAAAATTCATGTGGTGGGGATGGGGCTGAGGGGTTCGGAGTGTGGGAAGGGTCTCAGGGCTGGGGCAGAGGGTTTGGGTGTGGGGGGATGAGGGCTCTGGCTGGGGGTGCAGGCTCTGAAGTGGGGTCAGGGATGAGTGGTTCAGGGTGCGGGAGGGAGCTTAGGGCTGGGACAGAGGGTTGGGGTGTGGGGGGATGAGGGCTCTGGCTGGGGGTGCAGGCTCTGGGGTGGGGTTGGGGATGAAGGGTTTGTGGTGTGGGAGGGGGCTCAGGTCTGGGTGCAGGGGGTGAGGGCTCCATCTAGGAGTGAAGACTGGGGTGGGGCCAGGGATGAGGGGTTTAGGGTGCAGGCTGCTCCAGGGCTGCAGTGGGGAGACAGGACTCCCCTCAGCCCTATCTCATCACAGCGTCTCGAGGCCAGGGAGAGGTGCTTCTCCCCAGCCGTGGCAGCTCCAGCGGGGCTGGGCCGGGCCCAGGGAGGGGCTCCTCTCCCCCAGACATGGAAAGACCGGGGCAGGTCTGCAGTGGGGCTGGCGGGGAGGGGCTCTTCTCCCTGCTGCAGCCGTGAGCTCCTGCACAGGGCTTAATAGGCAGCTGCGCGCGGCTGCGCAGCTTAGAGGGAACTTAGCCAGTAGCTGTAGTTCTTCAGATAGACTTAGTCCAAACCCACATTCCTTCCTATAAATCTTTTTATAAGTCCTAATAAATGCATGGTCTTGTTATGGAGTCCTGAGGAAGTGGAAGGATCTGAGGGATGGTTGGGGCAACAGTTCCATACAGTACTGTACTCCGAAGTCTGAATGTTGCTCCCTGTGAGGGAGCATACACACAGCCCTGTGGTCGTGGCCCAGTAGGATTCCAGGGGGGTTTCCAGAGTACGTACATACACATCTCAAGAGTATGTAATCTGTAGTCTACTCAATTTAGGTTACTTTTTACCAGTAACTGTTCTTTTGTTGCATCTTAATCAAGGTCAGGGTAAAATAATCTGCAAAATTGTTTGTCTGAGTTCAAATGATGTCATCTCTGGATGTAAATTAAATTGCTATAACCGACTGTAGCAAACCTCTCAAAGTAGGGGGAAATGTTTCATTCTTAGGTGTTTTTTAAAAATACTCTTAAGGTTATACCATACAGTGTCACTTCAGAAAGAGACGCAGTAGTACTGCATAGTTTCAGCTGTTTTGTCTGTGTTAACTTACCAGATGCATTAACATCACTTCTAGAGGCAGACACATGCTATAATATCTGCAAATCCTTTAGACTGATGAAGGTTCCCCACTGGATGTGCTTTGCATAAGCACTTCATGCTAGGAAATCACAATTATAGGAGCCATGGGATTAAGCAGGTTATTGCATTGGAGTCGCACAGTGCAATAGAGGCTTATGCAGAATCTTGTACTCTTGACATATTATGTTACCAACACAGGGATATTGAATACTAGTAAAAAATTTGGTGCTCTTAATGTTTGGTTTTATTGCACGCCACTTCAATTTAAAAAAGTTCTGCTCATTGGTTTCCTTAAAGTCAAATGCATAAAGCTTTTCTATTTTCATGTGTTCCCCTTGGTGACTGCCAGTCTCTGGTTGCTTGGTAACAACTTGTCCTTTCCTTTGTTTTTAAAAACATGTTTCTATTTGCAGTTTAGCTTCATAATAGCTGTATAGGTATTCCAGCTGTTGCCGATCAAATATATTGGAATAGTCTCTATGTTCATCTAATGCATAGCTCTAGAGCTAAACTATGGACTGGGATTTAAATATGAAACACACACAGTAGATCCAGCCTTTCAAACTAGCAGGTTTTTAAATCTACAGGTCTTTACATGGACAGTTACTAACCTCTAACCATTTTTGTTTGTCAACAAAAGATTTCTACCCATCGTTCAGAAGGTGAAAGCACTCTTATTGCTCTGCTACTAATTGCTCTACTAATTACTCTACTAAATCCTTTACTTCAGGAAAACTTCTGACACTTAATGAAATTCTGTTCTTGATGCTTCCTTGGTGGGATTGGGGAGAGAATGATCTTAAAGGTGAAATACGCTTTCATTTTTCTTTCAGGAAGGTGAAAAAATAATTCAGGAATTCCTTTGTAAAGTGAAAGCATTGCCCTTGAGAGACATGTCAGAGGAAGACATCAGAACCAAACTGAAACAATTGAAAGCTGAAGTGTTGGCAAAGAACAACGGTTTTGTGAATGAAATTGTTTCCCGAACAAAAGTTACTCCATGAAAAAAGCTAAAATGACACTGCTTGAATTGTTTTAAGTCACAAGAGCTATCATTTTCTTGTCTTGTATGTTTTATGCTTTGTGAGGTTTTGTACTCACTACTGAAGCTACACTTTCTCTTGACTTGTAATTACTTTTTAAAATGAGTACCTATTGTACCTGAGTAATAGTTTAGTTACTGCTATTTTCAATAAAATCCATTTCTCGAATATCAGGGAAGTGTGAATAAAAGAAAGCCGTAGATTTTTTTTCCAGAAAGTCAAACTACGTGTAACTTTTACCATGCTGTGTTAGTTAAGAAAATGGTCAGTTCTAGTGCAAAATCTACAGCTGCCCTCTACTGCAGTTATTTTTCATTGTCATCACTGATGCTTTACTCGCTGGTCCAAAAGAGTACCCGGGATAATTGCAGTTTTAACAGGGCTGTATTAGTGATGTCTTTTAGAAAAACATTTGATAAGGAATCTTAGCTAATGATTAAACATTTAACTGGTTCTGACTATACTCTCTTTAAATGCAAGGGATTGTTTATGCTCGCTTGAGCCAGGTGTAGTACAGGCTAGTGCACTTTCCATTCCAGTGCTAACTCTTCATTGTACAGAGACTGCCAGTCATGTGGTGGGTTGTAATGTGAACAAACAGGAACTAGGATGATGCCACCAATTTACTTTCTTTTGAGAGTTAAATAAGCCCAAGTCCCCAGAAGGGAGAAAGCAAATTCATTTTACCTGATCTACTTAACATGCTTCATGGGGGGGCCCTGTCTTATGTATGCAATTATTTGAATTGAAAGAGGACACAACTGTCCTGTGCATATGCTATTACTGCCTCTTACATACTGTGTATCAGCTAGTGTGCTTCAATTCAGAGTGCCGTAATCTCCCTGTGTTGGCAAGCCCTGAAGCACATCAAGGTACAAGTTTGCCTGCACCACTTGCCTAACTCTTAAGACCTTGCTTGTTAGCTATATCATAGAATATGTCTGGCTTTGGGATTATAAGAATATATATATGCTGAAGGTGACAGACATGACTCTTTGATATATGCTCTAGCAGAGATTAAACCAGAATATGTGTTAGGGATGTTGATAGAAGCGTGCTGTTGAAAAACTAATTGTGTGTGTCTGAGCTATACACTTGTTGGAGTACAGTACATATAATTTTATTACTGCAATGTTTGTTTCTAAAAGGGTTATACTAAACTTGAGAAGTTGATCATTTTTACTTTTAATTCAGTAGAAGTTGGAAAATAAGCATATTATACCCTAGCAGATGTAGGAAAATGTTAATTCGATGCAGAGATTTTATGTACATTGGACTCTGCCACAATACCTTATTTTTGTTTTAATTTAGAATGCAGTATACTTTGTTCCTATTAAACATTGTAAGAAAAAATATCTTAAGTATAGTACTTATATACAGTATTATATAGTGTCTGTAAAGTAACTAGATTGTCAGTCAGAATAGAATTGTATAAAGCAGAGCAGAGTACTGCAATACAAGTCAATTTTCTTAATACACAAACATTCTTATAGATACTTGGGAATCTATTTAAATTACTATAGAAATTCATGGGAAGTCACAGGGTTTGAATTAGATCAACCTGTTTCACTATATCTAAAGAAAGCTAGCAGTCCTTTGAAGACTGTAAGTGACATACACCTATTACAAGCCTAGGGAAATGAGTTACTAGTATATTTGCTTATGTGAAGATCACATGCTTGAGTCAATCTCTTAGTGAAAATGTTGTCATGCTGTTTATGGTCCTTGTGACTGTTAATCTATGCATGCTTTCCTCCTCAACCATGAAAGAGGAGTTTTACTTCTGCAGCATGCCTGCTCAGCTCCACCGTTGTGTTACATGGGCACTCCACAGGATTTCAGCTTGGAATCTAGTGGGCAGGGTACAAAAACCATCTTGGTTCCTCCCATATTCTGTCCTCCAAATCCCACAAGAAAGGAAGGTGTAAGCAAATACAACTTGAGGCTGTATTAACGTACACTGCTTTTCTGTGTGCACTTGAAACATCCCCTTTGAGGGGCACCAGCAGCAACTGTGCCAAGGGAACCCCCAGAGGACAGCTCCTTCTGGAGCCAATGCTGTCCAAAGTTATGAGAAAGAGAAGTATAGTCAGGAGGTCTGTGTCAAGATCAGGAATTATACTCAAGAGCATGGGCCACTTCTGCGGATGCTCCATTGCAACCTGTGGATTAAAGGTGGGAAAATCCCTGAATGCTTCTGTAGGATGGAGGAACCCTCCAACAGACCTGTGAGTAGGAAATTGTGAGTTGAACTTTGCAAAGTTTCCTCCCATCATGCGGGTTGTTCCTCTGAAGGGGAAAAGGGTGCCATTTGTTTTAATTTAAATCAGTGACCCTCCGACTGAGGCTCAAGAGCTGCAAGTGGCTCTTTAATGTATCTCCTGCGGCTCATTGCAGCATCTACTAAAACAGTGTGTGACTTAATTATTAACCAATTTAAGTTATCCTGAGCTTTTACTATGTTAACCAATTGTTGTTAATAAAATACTTGTCCTTTTGCTATGAGAATGAATATATATGACTGACCAAGTATTTTATTAACGACAATTGGTTAATAGTAAATATAAATAGTAAATGAAACAATGAATACTCTCAAAAGAGCCACAGTAGTGTGAAATGTTTATTGCTAACCTGGTTCCTGAACCACTGAGGTCTGAGCATCACTGAATTAAATCTAGCTTCTTTTTTTTCAGAAACATGTCCGTAATGACAAGAACTGTGCCAGGAACACATCTTAAATGAAACAGGAACGGTGTCAAGAATGCAAAGATGATCAAAGCTTCAGAACTAAATTGTGCCATTATCAAGAAAGCTTGAGGCCACGTCCTGTCAGTCTTGAGTCAAGATGTAATTTTCTTTTTTGCTCATTCACACCAGTGTTCTCAAAAAGCTTGGCACTGAATACCTTCTGCATATTCAGTATCAGTTTGTAATCTGTGCAGTTGCTTTTCATTTAGAAGGCTGTTGAGGAAGAAATAGCTTTCGGTAAAAGGAAAGGTCATATTACCAAACACTACTAAAATTCATTTCTTTGGAAAATGCCATTTTCTCCCTGATTACTTTAGCATCTGTTCACAAAATAGAATGGAAGAGCAGTGTAGTGTATGTGCATGAGTGCAACATCTATTCAGTATACATATGAAATACTTGTTTTATTTTTCTATTGCATTCATAGGCAAATGAGACGTAGCTTAAGACAACTGAAAAGAGCTAGAACAATCTGATACAGTGGTAGGGAGAATTCAGTGATCAGATAAACAAGTTAATGAATTAAAATAAAATCAGCCTATCAGTTCTGAAACTCCAGTTCTCATGTGACCGGTAACCTAGCTGTAGTGTTTGCCTTTAAGCTATTTAAGACTAATATATATAGAATAACACTGATCTGAATGTCCAGTTGCAACTGCATGTTCACCTCTAACAACTGATAAATGACTTTAAAATCTGATTTTTGTTGTATGTTGTAACTTAAATGTTTATGGAATTTAAGATGGAGTACAAATATCCTAGCTAAATGTGTAATTTAACTCCTTGTCCATTGAATATAATTGAATGCACTGTCATCAACTTGTGAAACTAATGACATTTTTATACTGTTTAAATATTCTCAAACAGTGTTAATGAGCTCTTTCTTTATTCAGTAATTCACCCCCTGAGTACGTGCATGAGAAGATTTAGACCACCAATCACACTTGGTCAAAACATCTAGGGAGATAAAAAGATACAGTAGATAGTGTGCACAAGAAAATCACAGTAAATAATTGCACTCTATATTATAGCTTTGGCTTGACAAACAATTGAATTGGGACACCAGTGCGACCTAAAAAGTCTGCTTTTACCACCACAAACTAGTGAGGGGCCAGCTGCTTGAGAGGACGTATGAACAGGGCGTCTTCAGCATAGGGTAACACTGCTAATGTAGTACAGTAACTCCTCGCCTGAGATTGAAGTTATGTTCCTGAAAAATGCGACTTTAAGTGAAATGATCTTAAGCAAATCCAATTTCCCCATAAGAATTAATGTAAATGGGGGGAGGGAGGTTCCAGGGAATTTTTTTTTTGCCAGATACATGTGTATACATACATACACAGTTTTAAACAAACAATTTAATACTGTACTGTGAAGCTTGGTTGAGGTGGTGAAGTCAGAGGGTGGAAGAGGGTGGGATATTTCCCCGGGAATGCCTTCGCACTTGGCTGAGCCCTCAAGGGTTAACAGGTTGTTCATGTAGCCTCACAGTCCATGCGGCAGCATGAATGGAGGGAGAATCCTAGAATCTCAGGGTTGGAAGGGACCCCAGAAGGTCATCTCGTTCAACCCCCTGCTCGAAGCAGGACCAATTCCCAGTTAAATCATCCCAGCCAGGGCTTTGTCAAGCCTGACCTTAAAAACCTCTAAGGAAGGAGATTCTACCACCTCCCTAGGTAACGCATTCCAGTGTTTCACCACCCTCATAGTGAAAAAGTTTTTCCTAATATCCAATCTAAACCTCCCCCACTGCAACTTGAGACCATTACTCCTCGTTCTGTCATCTGCTACCATTGAGAACAGTCTAGAGCCATCCTCTTTGGAACCCCCTTTCAGGTAGTTGAAAGCAGCTATCAAATCCCCCTCATTCTTCTCTTCTGCAGGCTAAACAATCCCAGCTCCCTCAGCCTCTCCTCATAACTCATGTGTTCCAGACCCCTAATCATTTTTGTTGCCCTTCGCTGGACTCTCTCCAATTTATCCACATCCTTCTTGAAGTGTGGGGCCCAAAACTGGACACAGTACTCCAGATGAGGCCTCACCAATGTCGAATAGAGGGGAACAATCATGTCCCTCGATCTGCTCGCTATGCCCCTACTTATACATCCCAAAATGCCATTGGCCTTCTTGGCAACAAGGGCACACTGCTGACTCATATCCAGCTTCTCGTCCACTGTCACCCCTAGGTCCTTTTCTGCAGAACTGCTGCCTAGCCATTCGGTCCCTAGGCTGTAGCGGTGCATTGGGTTCTTCCGTCCTAAGTGCAGGACCCTGCACTTATCCTTATTGAACCTCATCAGATTTCTTTTGGCCCAATCCTCCAATTTGTCTAGGTCCTTCTGTATCCTATCCCTCCCCTCCAGCATCTCTACCACTCCTCCCAGTTTAGTATCATCCGCAAATTTGCTGAGAGTGCAATCCACACCATCCTCCAGATCATTTATGAAGATATTGAACAAAACCGGCCCCAGGACCGACCCTTGGGGCACTCCACTTGATACCGGCTGCCAACTAGACATGGAGACCCAGCATGGCAGAGAGACACCCACCCGCCTTGTGTGTGTGTGTGAGAGAGAGAGAGAGAGATGCATATTGCCCCTTTAAGTACGCTGACCCCACTCTAAGTACACTGCCTTTTGAAGTAGATCAGTAAGTTGAGACAGCAGCTGCAGCCAGCAAGCTCCCATGTCATATCCCACCGTGCTCTGTGGAGATGGGGTACAGGAGGAGGGGGACACCCTGATATTAACACCCATCTCCCTCCACCCCCCGCACAGCAAGCAGGAGGCTCCTGGGAGCAGCTCCAAGGCAGAGGGCAGGAGCAGCAGAGGGCAGGAGCACCACACGGCAGCACGGGGAGGGACAGCTGAACTGTGTTGCAATTGGTAGCCTGCTGGGCGGCTGCTGCACAGGAAACTTAGGGGAGCTGATGGGGGGGGGGCTGCCAGCCCACCCTGGTTCCAAGCCCCCACCAGTGAGCTGCAACAGGCTGCTCTTCCTGCAAGCAGTGGACAAGCAGGTGGCTGCCAAACATTATAAATGAGCATTGTGCAACTTTAAATGAGCATGTTCTCCCCATGGTCAGCAACGTAACAACATTAATTGGGATGACATTAAGTGAGGAGTTACTGTACACAAGAATTAGGACTGTCAAGCAATTAAATTAATCCTGTGATTAAACAAAAATAGAATACCATTTATTTAAATTCTTGATGTTTTCTACATTTTCAAATATATTGATTTCAATTAGAACACAGAATACAAAGGGTACAGTGCTCACTTTGCATTTATTTTTGATTGCAACCTAATACAAGTACTGTAGTGCAATCTCTTTATAATGAAAGTTGAACTTACAAATGTAGAATTATGTACAAAAAATAAGTGCATTCAAGAATAAAACAACGTAAAACTTTAGAACCTACAAGTCCACTCAGTCGTGCTTCAGCCAATCACTCGGACAAACAAGTTTGATTATTTGCAGGAGATAATGCTGCCCACGTCTTGTTTACAATGGCACCTGAAAGTGAGAACAGGTGTTCTCAGGGCAGTGTTGTAGCTGGCATCACAAGATATTTACATGCCAGATGCGCTAATGATTCATATGTCCCTTCATGCTTCAACCACCATTCCAGAAGGCGTGTCGATGCTGATGATGGGTTTTGCTCGATAACCATCCAAAGCAGAGTGGACAGATGCATGTTCATTTTCATCATCTGAGTCAGATGCCACCAGCAGAAGGTTGATTTTCTTTTTTGATTTTTGGTGGTTCGGGTTCTGTAGTTTCCGCATTGGAGCATGGCTCTTAATAATACATATGAAAGCATTCTCCACACCTCATCCCGCTCAGATTTTGGAAGGCATTTCAGATTCTTAAACCTTGTGTCGAGTGCTGTATCTATCCTTAGAAATCTCACATTGGTACTGTGACATTGCACTCTATATGATTTTATAAAAATATGCTAATGAGTGTGAATATAATGTAACTGGGATATGCTTCATGCAAAAGGTCTCATGTAAGGTATCTTTACAAAGCTTATAGTCTACTGAATGTGTTCATCCTAGTTGTATGAATGTATCATTCTTGTATCTGAAACTAGAACTATAAAACATAACTGAGGGCCTATTGTAATTATGCAAAGCGTGGGCCATTAATGGTGGTTTGGAATCTTGATGGCACCCATTAACCAGGACAATGGACTGTAGATGGCTCTGTTTTACTTGTAAGTTTTCCTGTATAGGTGTGTGCTGGCAAGTGAGTAATGAAGTCTCACAGTGACATGTGATCATGTCACCTGAACTGGAATCCATCTTTAACCTGGTGCTTGTCCATTGTGAAGGAGGGGTGGGAACCCAGAGAGGGACAAAGGATTCCCACCTTATGCAAAAGATATATAAGTGGGTGGAACAGAACAAAGGAGGCTGCAATCATGAGAAGTCCCCTAGCTACCACCTGAGCTAGATCAAGGGCTGTACCAGGGAAAGGATTGTGCCAGACTAGGAAGGCGTCCAGTCTGTGGTAGAAGCTTATTGAAACATCTGAGGGTGAGATTTTATCTGTATTCAGTTTTCTTACTGTATTAGACACAGACTTGCATATTCTATTTTATTTTGCTTGGTAATTCACTTTGTTCTGTTTGTTACTACTTGGAACCACTTAAATCCTACGTTCTGAATTTAATAAAATCACTTTTTACTTGTTAATTAACCCAGAGTATGTATTAATACCTGGGGGGGTCAAACAGCTGTGCATATCTGTCTATCAGTATTATAGAGGGCGGGCAATTTATGAGTTTACCCTGTATAGCTTTATACAAGGTAAAACAGATTTATTTGGGGTTTGGACCCCACTGGGAGCTGGGCATCAGTGTTAAAGACAGGAACACTTCTTAAGCTGCTTTCAGTTTAAGCCTACAGCTGTTAGGGGACGTGGTTCAGACTTGGGTCTGGCTCAAACCAGGCAGAGCACTGAAGTCCCCAGGTGGGAGGGTAGAGAAAGCAGGGGCAGAAGTAGTCTTGGCACATCAGTTGGCAGCCCCAGGGGGTTCCTGTGATCCAACCTGGCACAGGTACCTTCTTTGCATTTTGTCAAATCTGCTGTGAAAGTGTTCTTAAAATGAATATGTGCTGGGTCATCATCCAAGACTGCTATAACATGAAATATATGGCAGAATGTGGGTAAAACAGAACAGGAGACATACAATTCTCCCCCAAGGAGTTCAGTCAGAAATTTAATTAATGCATTTTTTGTTTTTTTAAACGAGCATCATCAGCATGGAAGCATGTCCTCTGGAGTGGTGGCTGAAGCATGAAGGAGCATATGAATATTTAGAATATCCGGCATGTAAATACCTTGCAACGCCAGCTACAAAAGTGCCACGCCGAACGCCTATTCACACTTTAGAATAAGAAGCAGTCAGTAGTATCTCCTGTAAATCTAAACAAGCTTGTTTGTCTTAGTAATTGGTTGAACAAGAAGTAGGACTGAGTGGACTTGTAGGCTCTAAAGTTTTACATTGTTTTGTTTTTGAGTGCAGTTATGTAACCAAATAAATACATTTGTAAGTTACACTTTCAAGATAAAGAGATTGCACTACAGTACTTGTATGAAGTGAATTGAAAAACAGTATTTCTTTTATCATTTTTACAGTACAAATATTTGTAATAAAAATATAAAGTGAGTACTGTACACTTTGTATTCTG